AATAAATAACGAAGTGTAGAAGAACTTTAAATGGCTCTGATTGGTTTGCTTTGATATGTTAAAGTGATCTGATGTTTCTCATACTCGTAAATCTTTGTCCCTATAATTAGTGTCTGATCATAATTATACTTAATTAATGTAATAGGACAGATGACAAATGATGAATAGTATAGCTAATGGTGGCAAATTAAGTTACATTTCTGTTTCATTAAGGGCACATGAACTGAAAACCTAATGTTGATCATCTTACCCTATAGAAGCACAGATATAATTCAGATTAGAACTCAAACCTGATGGACTGACTGGAATTGTTCCTTATATATAGCAACATTGTGTCCCTGTAGTTTGTAGTTTAGACTGACCCAAACAATATTTTGGGAAAGTTTTACTGTGAATTTAACTACTAGGTGAGGTTTGTTTGTTGTTTGTGAGGTTGGTTCATTTAGGTCAGTGGTCGCCAACCCGTCGATCGCGATCAACTGGTAGATCTTTATCACGGTCCCAGTAGATCCCGATAAAAAACAGTAAAATAAGTACAAAAATGCATTACATTTCTGGGGTTATATTAATGTATCACTGAAGGGTACTGTCTTGAGAAAAGTTTCGATGGCAATGGCATTTTCTTCTCCGTTTAAAGCACAGCTCTGCTTTGTTTACAGCGGTAAACAAGGAAACGCTATATTGCGGTCGGTTCATAAGCAGTGTTGTCAAGTCAGCGGTTTTCAGAAAAAGGTTAGACTGATAGAGTGAGACTGCTGCAGAAAGAAAAGATAAATAGAGAGGTTTTTGAAGAGTCCAGTGAGACGGAGATAAAGAGAATATCTATTCTAGAAAAGGAGAGATAAGAGAAAGAGAGGAATAGAGGTGTGGAGTGAGATCTGTCCCCAGAGGCAGTAGTTAGACGGAGAGAGTTCTCTCTGGAGACCTGGGCTCTTCCTCCATTAACTCCCCTCTGCAGAAGCTCAGCATCATCCACCCAGGCAGCTTCAGTTCCATATGGTGCTCTCCATGACCACATCTGGAGTATGAAAAAGCATGTTTACTGCACTATACTAGCAAATTATCATTATGGCATTACCAGTACTCTGATAATCACCATTCATTTGCCTGTTAATGTAACCGGGTGTCAGGACTTAATGAAATTAAGATTTAATTGATTTTTCAAAGTTTCATATTTCTAATCACACCGTGCTTTCAGCACTGTAGAACAAAAGGTCTCAAGAACACAACTATATCTTGATGATCTTAACAATGATTTGTTACAATTTTACTATTTAGCTTTAGATTGTTTTTATTTCAGTCTTAGTCAATTTTAGTACTTCAACTTAAGTTTTCATCTATTATATAATTTATTTTATTTCAGTATTATTATTAACCCTTAAAGGGTTAGTTCACCCAAAAATGAAAATTAGACTGTGTTTTACTTACCCTCGAAGCAGGTGTATTTTACTTTCTTCTTTCAGACGAATCCAGTCGGAGTTATATTAAAAATTGTCCTGGCTATTCCAAGCTCTATCATTGCAGTCAGTGGGTGTTTCTGTTGAACAGTCCACAAGCGCGCGCATTATTCCTGTTTGCTATAAACCAACTAAAGCCCTATTTGATTCTGTTTCTTTAAAAAATATTATTTTATTTAAAAAGCTTCCCTTAAAGGGGTCATATGATGCTGCTAAAAAGAACATTATTTTGTGTATTTGGTGTAATGAAATGTGTTTATGCGGTTTAAGGTTAAAAAACATTATTTTCCACATACTGTACATTATTGTTTCTCCTCTATGCCCCGCCTTTCTGAAACGCGTCGATTTTTACAAAACTCATCGTTCTGAAAAGCGAGGTGTGCTGTGATTGGCCAGCTATCCAGTGCGTTGTGATTGGTCGACTTCCTCAAGCGTGTGATGGAAATGTTGCGCCCCTCACCATACTGTGATGCCGTGTCCCGGCACGACGAGACAAGACCAATAAAACCCATTATAAACGAGGCATTTGTTGCAGTGGGGACATAATTACTGATTATAATGACTTATACTGTCTTTTTATATGACTTATACTGTCTTTATAGACTGTGGTCAGCATGCGCGCCGAAGGGGAAACAGAGGAACTGAATTCACTGGAACACCGGCATTGTAGGCTACTCTTCCAGGAAACAGTCCTCGTCCTTCGTAAAATGTGCTGCACACATCTGAATATTTGGGTTGAACTGTTCTGGAACAGTGTTGTAAATACAACGTAACCACTGATTTCTAGTTGTGTCCTCTTTTGGAAGACCAAACAAAGTAGCTTCGCTTTCATAACGAAACACACAACACATGTGGAGCTGTGGTGTTCATGTGACCAACGCAAGTTCAAGCTTGGTTTGTGTTGTTTACCAGTTCTCCTTCCACCATCTTCTCACCAGCAGTTCCTGTCCTCTTTCATTTATTCCCACAAATAAAGTGGCATAAGGTCAAAATAATACAATTTATTGGCACTGCGACTTTTAAAGTTTGAAAGAGTGCGGCAATTAAATGTGACTGGGATCTTTAAGCCTGTTTCACCATTCTGCTGAATTTTCAGAAGTTATGACTCTCAGAGTAGCAGAAGGCAGTCTATCCTCAGCATGTATATATTTTTCTAATAGGTTTGCTTTTAGTCCTTTCTTTAATAATGCCTACAGTTATTAACTATGACTGTTTAACTGCTATAAAAAATAAATAACGAAGTGTAGAAGAACTTTAAATGGCTCTGATTGGTTTGCTTTGATATGTTAAAGTGATCTTCATACTCGCATACTCGTAAATCTTTGTCCCTATAATTAGTGTCTGATCATAATTATACTTAATTAATGTAATAGGACAATGATGAATAGTCTGATCATAATTATACTTAATTAATGTAATAGGACAGATGACAAATGATGAATAGTATAGCTAATGGTGGCAAATTAAGTTACATTTCTGTTTCATTAAGGGCACATGAACTGAAAACCTAATGTTGATCATCTTACCCTATAGAAGCACAGATATAATTCAGATTAGAACTCAAACCTGATGGACTGACTGGAATTGTTCCTTATATATAGCAACATTGTGTCCCTGTAGTTTGTAGTTTAGACTGACCCAAACAATATTTTGGGAAAGTTTTACTGTGAATTTAACTACGTTTGTTTGTTTGTTTGTTGTTTGTGAGGTTGGTTCATTTAGGTCAGTGGTCGCCAACCCGTCGATCGCGATCAACTGGTATCACGGTCTCACGGTCCCAGTAGATCCCGATAAAAAACAGTAAAATAAGTACAAAAATGCATTACATTTCTGGGGTTATATTAATGTATCACTGAAGGGTACTGTCTTGAGAAAAGTTTCGATGGCAATGGCATTTTCTTCTCCGTTTAAAGCACAGCTCTGCTTTGTTTACAGCGGTAAACAAGGAAACGCTATATTGCGGTCGGTTCATAAGCAGTGTTGCCAAGTCAGCGGTTTTCCCGCGGAATTGGGCTACTTAACACTGTTGCCACGGGTTGTTGTTCATGTCCGCGGGTTAAAGCGACCCCAGTAACGTGATATTTAGTCCCTGGAATGTGAATGTAACAAAGTTCATAAGTCGGGAAGAAGGAGGCGGGAACCGGCGAACATTTAACATTCCAGCACCACCGCCTCGGGCAGCCACCGGCGGTCTCTCCGCTTCTTCCCGCTGCCCGATCTCCTCAGCACCGCGATCCCCCTCAGCAGCGAGGGCTCTCTGACAGCGTGTCCCTCCTTCCTCCCGGGTTTCGGCACCAATGTAACAAAGTTAATAAGTCGGGAAGAAGGAGGCGGGAATCCTTAATAATAAAATAAACACAAAATAGCGCGACAGCCCCTCGCGGACGACTGCCGCGCACAAACGAAACCAAAACACAAAATAAAATCCAGGCCTGGTCCTCTCTCGTCTTTCCCTGTCGTCACTCCTCCTTTGTATCCTTCCGGAGCTCCTCCGTGAGACTCGAGACCGGTGAGTGGCGCAGGTGTCGCGCATTCGCAATTACTCCACCGGCCTCGCTCCGTTCCCACGGCTCTCGGCCCCGCCCCTCTCGTCACAGTGAATTTTACTTGAAGATCCCCGCCGAAAAACTTGTATTTTACCCCCCGAATGCGATTTTTACAGGGGAACCCTCCTCGAAACGCGATTGGACTAGTTTTATTGCGAAAACCTGGCAACCCTGTTCATTAGTACCTAGTAGAGTGCATTCAGACCTGCTGTTTTTGTTTCGTGCAGATGTTTTATGTAGCAAATAAATAAATAACATCTAAAGTCAGACCATTCTGTTTTTATTTGAAATTTTTAAATGTATCTAAATCAAATCAAAAACAACTGCCCGTGCATATCATGATTAAAATGCAGTGGATGCCTCTCATTTCAAATGGCTAGATATTTTTGTTTAAAGCCAGTTTGTTTGTTATAAAGCAAATAGCCAATAAATACATTTGCTTAAGAAGTCTGTATCAGAATCCAATTTGCTAGTTAAAAAAAAAAGAAAGAAAGAAAGAAAAGAAAATCTGAATTCTGAATCAACTATGATCGGCACATCACTAATTAAAATACTAAGTAAAAGGCCTCAAATTTGAAGTACAATCTGGGATATCTTTTTCTATCAATTCTTCAATAGGTAGATCTTGTCTTTCATAAAGGCCGAGGTCAGGGATCTTGGGCCTAAAAAGGTAGGTGACCACTGATTTAGGGTATCACTTGTTTTTTTGTTTTGTTTTGTTTTGCAGTGTGTGTCCTACCATGAGCAGTGCATTTTTTTAAATGATGTGTCAATTTAAAAAATAAGCTTTATAAAACACATTTAAGGACCGGTATTCTTTTCAGTTTCGTATGCATACAAAAAAAAAGAAAAAAAGAAGCGAATCCTATTGGGGTCAGTCTTAACTCAACATCATAATAATTATTATAAGTCGGCTGATTGGTCAAGTAGTGATTTTGAAAGTATATTGTTTTGCCCCGTTAACTAGATTTAAACTTGTTCTATTTCTCACCTCCAGATCTGTGATAAAGAGTGGCATTACTACGTCATCAATGTGGAGTTTCCTTCAGTGACGCTCTTCGTAGACGGAGTGACATACGAACCCTACCTTGTGACGGACGACTGGCCTATCCACCCCTCTGAGATCGATGTACAGCTAACCGTAGGTGCCTGCTGGCAAGGTGAGACCATGAAGGAACTGTTGTTTTGATTATCCTTTGAAAAAGAGGATCGATAAAATGAAATGGTGTCATAATTGTGGTTTGCACGACCCAGCCATAGGAGATGATGAATCAGCATCCACCAATTTTGAGATGTGATCAGATAGTCTCAGACTTCAGAGAGAGGGTGTGACTAAGAGATATCTACATTATTGATATGACAGTTGTGAGCATGGCAGCAGTGGTTCGAATACCAAGAGAGAGGCTATGTGTTTGGCCTCAGGCTACCCGGATTCCTCATTTAATCAAAGAGACTCAGGCGTGAAAACATCAAAAAAGAAACACGGCCTGTCAATTTCAGCCTTTTGAAATGGAGTTAATGATAGCATTTGAATGGAGAGTCTGTCCTTAACATTGCTTTCATGAGCTAAATAATTAAACAAGCCTCTGAGCGAATGGAGTCACGGCTGAGTCATTGTTTTAGGCGACGAGGTCCTAAGTTCTGAGCCTTCAGCACTATTTTACATTTCTTTTCATCTGTGCTGATTGCGGATTATTCTCTCATTTTCGCTGGCTTTGATTTGTGATTTTTTTCTTCTTTTTTAGAAGAGGCCTATAGTAAGGATTAAGAGACCCTGAATGGGGGACAAGTTCACTTGCCATTACATCCCAATGAAGCTGGTCTAAGCTTCACTAAACTGCAACAGATAACTTTTCAAGCCATAAGCGGGCAAGATTGCTTCTCACACCCTGTCCATTTTCACTCCATGCAATCAACAACGTAGCAACAAACCACCTCATAATGGAAAGCGGGGATGATATTTGTTCAGGCCAAATTGAGATCCTTGCTGTCTTTGGAGTTGAAATGGGGTTTGGTGGCCATTGACGAGACATCAAATAGGATTATCTGCTTTTTTCTACAGCTTTGTTAGCACATTAACTGATCCATTATGTAACTTATATGCGTTTAATGTTAAAAAATATTCTAACCATCTTATTTTTCTGCAGTAGGAGTGTACTTCTACACTGTTCAAAAGTTCTGGATTATAAAATGTTTTTAGGCTGAATTTATTTGATCAAAAATACAATCAAAAACGGTAATAATTTATATAATATTACCATTTAAAATATCTGATTTCTGTTTTAATATATTTCAAATGTAATTTATTCCTGTGATGGCAAAGCGGAATTTTCAGCAGCCATTAGTCCAGTCTTCCGTGTCACATGATCATTTAGAAATAATTCTAATATGCTGATTTAGTGCTCATTTCTTCTTCTTCTTCTTCTTCTTCGTTATGCTTAATGAACCAATGGGAACTGTGAAATAGTGTATTTTTCAGGATTCTTTTATGAACAGAAGGTTCAAAAGAACAGCATTTATTTGAAATAGATATAAATAAATCTTTTGTACAATTATAAATGTATTTACTGTCATTTTTGATCAATTTAATGCATTCTTGCTGGATAAAAGTATCACTTTCTTTAAAGATAATATCCAAACATTTGGAATGGTACATTGTTGTTGTTGTTTTTAGTTTTTTTTTTATTAAGTGTTAAATAAAAAATTAGGAATATTTTTCCCAAAAGTGTAAATTCTGTTATCATTTGGTAAAAAAGAAATGAGCAAAAAAGTATCCTTAAAAATAATCACATTCCTTGTTCCTTAAAAACATAGAAAAATAAAAACTTTTTTAAAAAAATGCTCTAAAATAAGCATGTGTAAAGAGAGATAAATAAGGCCATTACTGAGCTGCTTCTTCTCAGTAATAGTAATACTACTAATTAAAAATAGTCATATGTTACTATTTTCATATTAGTCATATTTTTTATTTAATTATTATTCTATTAAAATATGAAATCACATGTGCTAATCTAAACGTAAGGTCATGACCATGCCTTTTCCACAGGGCTCAGGATGTGTTCTGCTTGTTATTGTCTGTCATGCAGCTAATGATCGATACAGATGTGACGTGACAGCTCTTATATGCCATGCGAGGACTGCAGTCTCATTAGCGCTTTTGTCCTTTAGGGGGAGCATGAACGAGAATGCAAATGTTCCTCTGCTGTTTCATCTGTGGAATAACATTTAATTGATAACATCTGTCAACTAAATAATTTAAAAACAGAAGCAATTAAGCATTGGAAGCACAGACCCTCATTGTGAGGCTTTAGGAGTGACAGTATTTGCTGCATCTGGAGCTATTAGACTGCCCAAATCTGCCAGCTCATCAGTCGGGGATGTATGGGAGGGAAAACAGCATGTGTTATTGGCGACTTGGTTCTATTCATCAGTTGTTGATTGGATGGAGGCAGATCTGAATGTGAGCTTGCAGATGGTTGTGAGAAAGAGTCTGGGTTTAAGCTAGGGATGCGCCGATCCAATATTCATAGCGGGTATCGGCTCCGATAGTGCCATTTTTCTCAGATCGGGTATCGGTCAGAGAGGGCCGATCCAAATCCGAGTGGTTTTTTTTTCTTTCTCGATTGTGCAAATTATTCTGTGTTACTTCTGAAGCCATACCATAGCTTAATGTGAGCTACGTATGAATATTTAAGGCCTTTGCATTAAAGTTCACACAAACTCTTTTCTTCGCTGTGGCTGTCAGTCATTCGTTCAGCCTTTAAACCCTGGTCGCGTTCGGTTACAGCAGTCAGCTCGGTAAAGCTCTCTCCAAGATCATTCTGTGTTCCCATTATACTTGATTTGTAAATACATGTCTATGATTTTGCAAAAAGGACTTTATCTTCTTGCCGGAGTTTAATGTTGTTTTGTTACTTGCTACCGGGTGTCTGTGAGAACAAAACACGGGCGTAGAAAAGACTATAAATTGTTTTTAACGTGCACAGTAACTGAAATGTAAAACTGTTAAAAGAAAGGCTCAATAACTGTTGCACCGATATAATACACTACACATTAATTTCTCTTCCCTTTGTGCTTTGCTGTTTTTAACACAGAGCGCTTACAATGTGCGCATCTGGTGTGCAGATTGATGTGCTTGAAGCAACACAGTGTCAGGCTGTGATGCCATGTTGCTTCAAGTGCATCATTCTGCACACCGGATGTGCACATTGTAAGCGCTTCGTGCTCATAGCCTGTATAAAAACAGTTTGTGCTGCACTGTATTTGTTTTGTCCTATCGTATCTATCATATGTTGTTGGCTTATTAAAAAATATATGCTATACATTTAAAAGTATTTTAATTTTATAGTATATACTTATATATAAATACATTCGTGAATGTTTTTAATGAATGGATTTTATAATAATACCAATAGCAATGTGTAACATTTTACCATATTTAGTGCAACACTTTTATTTGTTCCCCACAAAATATATTTTTTTCACTAAATGTTTGGATTTCTAAAATTATTGTGCACTGATTTTTCTAGAATAACTTTTGCTGCCGAATTATCCACTAACCTAGTTTATGATACATTTTTGTCATAGATTATAAATATGCATAGGCCTATATTTTTTCATATTTATTGTTTATTTTATTTTTCTTTATAATGAAGTAGTCTGTATCTAGTAGATTGTGAAAGAATGATTATCAGTTCCACACACAGAGATATATAAATTCTACATTTATTTAAATGAGGGAAAAAAACTTCACTGGTATCGGATCGGTATCGGTATCGGCCAATACCGAACCCTAGGTATCGGAATCGGTATCGGAGGCGGATCGGCGCATCCCTAATTTAAGCAGATTAAATGATTTCTAGCATACGTCACACTTAAGGATGAAATTATCTATGAAAACTTTGAATAAAATCTACTTAAATGTTTTGAGCTGGATTATTTGCATAAATTTGTATTTAAGCAGAAAAATACAATATTTGAGGAATATCAGTGCAATTCTCGATTTCAAAAACTGTAAATAATAATAAAATATTTATATATTTCAGTTTTTCTTTTTTAATAAATCTGCAAAAATGTCAACAATTCTGTGTTTTTCTGTCAATATGGGGTGCTGTGTGTACATTAATGAGGAAAAAAAATTAACTTAAATGATTTTAGCAAATGGCTGCAATATAACAAAGAGTGAAAATTTTAAGGGGGTCTGAATACTTTCCGTACCCACTGTATATAATATATAAATTAACTGATTTCTTGCAACTGGTCCATCAGAGTCTGTTTTGATATTTATCATATATTATCATAGACAGCAAAGAATATATATATTTTTTTAAACCTAGCAGATGGAGGCATATCAGTAAACAGGCTTGTCTTCCTACCTCTTGATAGTGTCAGATAAGGTGTTTTTGACTTATTGACACACATACACACAGAGTGCCACTTAGCTTCCAGATATCTTTTGCTTTTGTACAGTATATTTTGTTGCCAGTGACTGCAAGTATGCGTGTGCATGGTTTGTAATGTGTTTGTTTACAGGAGGAGAGGTGACCACTCCAAGGTTCACACAGTATTTCCGGGGAAGCCTCTCAGGCTTGACTATCCGACCTGGGAAGATCGCCACACAAAAGGTGATCTCTTGCCTACAGGCTTGCAAGGAAGGCCTGGACATCAGCTCGCTTGAGAGTCTGGGAAAAGGCATAGCAAGTGTTGTAAATAAAAGCAAGGCTAGATGTTTTTGAGTGAAGGATGAGCGGCAGCAGAAGGTTTTCTCTGATCAATACTACAGAGCTAAGGGATGAGGTTGCCTTGGTTACCGATAACATCTGTCTTACTCTCAAGTACCTGTATCTAATCTGGCTCTGCCCTTAACTCATATCCACATATCCCAAAGAAACTTTCACCAGCAAAACTGAGTAGAGGTGAAGAGAAAATAAAAGAGTTTTTTTCTCCAAAGTGTAGCCCTACTGAAAAATACAGCTTATACCAGGGCTGTATAATTAATTGTATTTGAATCAGGATGACGATTACTTCTTCTCTTGATTAATTAACCATAATTGTCTGCTGGTTATTTATCCTGAAAGTTTTTTTCATTTGACATTTCTGTTATCTCTCAATGGTAACAAGCCTCCACAAGGTTTCACGCTTGGGGTTGCCAGATGTCAGGAGCTTAAATCCTCCAATTGAAACTTTTCTTTTAAGTCTCTAAAGATTAATGTTTTCTGCCCAGTGTTTTACTTAATCTACCTAACCCTGCAACCATGCACACATTCTGTACTGCAAAAAGGTGCCGATTGTTGTTTTAATAGAAAAACTGTTTTTTAAGAGACTCCTGGTAAGGTTTTACCAGTTTTTGTAAAGAGTGTGTTAATGCATAAGCTATGATAAATATAATAAGTTAGGAATTTATATTAGGTTGTCATTCTCTTTATTCGTGCTTATGTGAAAGTGCAGTAATTCTGAAATTAAATTTCTCAAATGAGAACAATTGTCATTAATAATCATCAAATTGGTCTGGTTTGCAAGTTTAAGAGAGGTTTTGGGCACTTAAAACTGCCTAAACCAGCTGCTTTCATGCTGGGAGACCAAATAGACCATCTTAAAACCAGCTTATAACCATTACATTTATGCATTTGGCAGATAATTTTATCCAAAGCCGCTTACATTACATTTTAGACATACAATTTATCAGTTCATGCATTCCCTAGTAATTGAACCCATGACCTTGGTATTGCAAGAGCCATGTAGTGTTTGAGCTATAGAGTTAATAGCAAAGCAACTTGGCTGAAGCTGTTATTTTCAGCAGCATGTAGTGTTCTGACAGTGCTCTTGTGTCTGTGGATAATGGACAGGCCTGCTGGTGGTGATGACTGTAGTGAGACCAGCTGAAGAGAACATGAAAGGCCATGATGAAATAAAATCTGCTGTGTCAGAGAGCCAGCCTCCGCAGTACAGTACAACACAATTAAAGATACTGTCACACAGCACAGGTCAGAGAGTGACAACACAGCTCTTCACAATACATAGCTTAAAGGAAATCACACAAAAATTAGTATTCTGTCATCATTTATTGTCCCAAACCTGTATGACTGACTTTCTAAGCTATGTATAGTGACCACAGCAGATCCACTTTTATTTTATTGAAAAGAGCAGCCTGGACATCTGGCCTAAACATCTGATTTTGGGTTTCACACAAAGCCATATAGATTTGGAACAACATGAGGGTGAGTAAATGATGACAGAATTTTTTATTTTTGAGTGAACTACCACAACATATTGCAGTATATTGTAGAATAACACACTACTGTTACCCCACAGCAGAGCAGAAAATGGTGCAGAGCAGGACTTCCAGCTGTTAATGTGACATCTAAAGCAATGTGATTAATACACTAAGACTTTACAGGGGTTACTTCTTGTCTCATTTTAATGGTGATCTTACATTCTTTTATCTCTTTTCTCTCACTGTATATCTCTCTCATTTTGTCGCCACCATCCTCTCACACAGTAAAATGCACAGAGGCTTTACTATCAAGTACTTCAGGTCAATAATTGGGGAAGATGATGGTTCGATGGTTCTTGTTTATTGGTCATCACATGGACTCCCTTTCATGTACAGAAGTTATTTATTTTGTAGATTTCACACTCCTCTAATAAATAATTGTGATTTTAAGCTGCAGATTTAAGTGCCTACAATAGCTCAGTTGTTGAGCTGGATAGCTTTTCCACAACTTTTTTTATTTTTTTTTTACATGGTTTCTGTTGCAGCATACAAGAGAGCGATCTAAACTGATAATTAAAGGGGACATCGGATGCCCATTTTCCACAAGTTGCTATGGTTCTTTAGGGTCTTCATGAAATGTCTGCAACATACTTTGGTTAAAATTCCTCAATGGTTGTGTAAAACAACACCCTTTTTATCTTGTCAGAAACAGCTCTGTTCACAGCGACCCGTTTCGGTTTTTAAATGCTAATGAGCTACTGCTCACCCCACCCCTCTCTTCCGTGACAATTTGCAAATAATCATAAAAATAAAAAGTGTGAGACTTCTTCTGGAGGTGAAGCTGGATCACGAACAGTGTGTACTGATCCATCCTTGAGAAGAAATTATTATTATTTTTTTTGGAGAAAAAAAAAGACAACTTTTTTTTAACATGGCGTAAAATGATTTGCACAGACATAAACAAATGTAGGTGTATTCGGTGGTGCATTACCATCAAAAACAAAACTAATCCACTGCGTCCTCAGTGACTCTGATGTCGGGAGAAAATTAAAACTCTTATGTTCACTTTTACATTCCACTACAAAACACCTGCATTGCTTATGAGACATTGTTGTCGCTACAGCTGGCAGAGGGTGGAAATATTCATAGAAATGCTCTTCTTTTGAACTTTCTATTCATCCAAGAATCCTGAAAAGAAATATCATGGTTTCCACAAAAATATTAACCGTTTTCAACAATGTTTCTTCAGAACCAAACAAACATATTATAATGATTTCTGAAGGATCATGTGACACTGAAGACTGGAGTAATGGCTGTTGAAAATTCAGCTGTCATCTCAGAAATAAATGTTAAAATATATTGCAATTGAAAACAATTATTTGTAATTGCAATCATATTTCACAATATTACACTTTTACCATTATTTTGGATTTTAAAAAAATGAAAATGAAACTGCTAGCTAAATTCCCGAGGTTTTGTGGGTGTCCTTTTCTCTTTAGAGACGCTTATTTGATTGTCAAGGGTGAAAGGATCGTGTCATCTGACAGCAGTCTAATGAAACCTATTGGATCCAATCGCACATGGCTAATACGTATCCAAATGAAACTTTAGCGTGAAGAAAGTGAGAGCGGGAGAGAATGAAAAGAAGAGAGAGGCTTCTACACTTGTCTAGTATGCACTGGTGAAGAGGATTGCCTAAATAAGAACAGACTTCCCTGGTCGATAGTGGAGTGAGCCGTAGCTCTTGTAATAGCGGTAGTCTGGCTTAGACCAGCTCCCAATATCCTTAAATCAGCCCTGTAAATAAAGCAAGATTGTTGGCCTTTTTCACAAAGCCTTTTTAATGAGTGAGTGTGCTCTCGACTGTTTTCTTTTAGTATGTAGCTCAAGTCGACCGAAGGGAGCCACTTTAACACATCACAAACTTTCCACCGTTATTTTTACTGCAGTCATTAGACATAATTGTTTTGTTGGTTCCACACAATTTTGTGCTCCCCTTCCTTCTCATTCAAGGCCATTCTCCATGGCGACTTGAGGGAGAGCGTTTAGGTGAGCCGCACAGAGAAATTACCTGAGGGAGATACCGCACCATCGCTCGAGCGCAACTAAGCATCACTCCGCCCGAGATGGTGGCAGAAAGCGCATTGTTGTCTTGAACAAATAGATAGTTCTTAATTAGCAGGCAAGTATATAAATGAATTAGTAAACCAATGAATGCTCTTTAGGGCTCACCCTTGAAAAAGAGTAATTACTGGGTGCATCGTGCGAAAGGGAGGCCTGTTAATCCTTAGACACTTTATTTCCCCCTTTCTCCTCGCATACTAGCTGTAATGAAGCTGGAGAGACTCCAATTTCCCCAGCAGGTCTGTGTGCGAGTCTGTTGCAGTCCACGCTTCAGCACCTCAGTCTTAATCAACACGGCTTCTGACTGCCATACCAACCTCTTCAGCTGGCATCAGGAGGAGGTGGCATCAAACTGAGCACACTGCTCGTGTTCTCGCAAATATTTTTTGTCGACTCGTTGCTTTAAAACTAACTATGTTTCGGCATCATTAATTGGTCCCATGACTGATTTCACCTGTGAGGTGCGACATGTGCTGAAGGTGACGATGACAGTCTGAAACAAAAGTTAGATACTATTGTCATCAACTGTCCAAACACTCACTTGAAAAAGAGACTTTGTGAGTGTCAGTGCATTTTTATGGGCTCTTACTCAAAGTGAGATACAGACTTTATTTTGGGAAGTAAGAGTGTTTAATTATTTGCGGTGTTAAAGTGTGTTTGTCTGCATAAAGTGGGGACATATTTAAATAACTTATTTAATTCCGTGATATTTCATGTATTCTTTATGAATCTTGTATGTGAGCCTCAGGTAATAAATATTGTTGAGCATTTTAAATATTTGGGTATTTGGGATATTTGATTATGGATTCTAACTTAAATTTTAAAAAACATATTAAAAAGGTCTCTAAAAGTACTAGAGCAAGCTTGATGATCTTTAGGAATATTAGGCACCAATTACCTGTGGCTGCTGCTGAACTCTTTATGCATTGAATGATTCTCCCTCATTTATCTTATTGTGCTACAAGTTGGTCTTATACAAGTATAACCACGTTAAAACCATTATATACTATTTATAAACAAACTGTGAAAATCTTAGCTAAAAAGCCAAGGAGTTATCATCACTGCAATATTATTAAAAATTATAAATTATTGACGTTTGATAATTTTTTATTATTTGCTGATGTGTGCTTGATGTACAAACTATTTCATGATCTTGCACCACCACCTCTTAAACAATGTGTGACTTTCTGTAAGGATAATACCAGGCAGACTAGGTCATCAGTTAGAGGTGATTGTTCAACTAAATTTAAGAAAACTGTTTTTGGACAATCAGCTTTTTCAGTTAGAGCAGCAGAGAGATGGAATTTAATACCTGTTAATATTGGAGAGTGTACAACATTTAGTATTTTTAAAACTACGCTTAAAGTATGGCTTAAGGAAAATCAAATATGTGATCATTGACTTGGTTTTGTAATTTAATGGAGTATGATGTGATATTGTATTGTATATTGTATGTGTTGTATGTATTGTATTGTTTGTGATTTAATATTGTAATTTTGTAACAACATCCTGCCCAGGGACTGCAGATGCAAATTAGCTTTATAGCTAACTCTGGCACAACACTGTTGTTGTGCGTTGTCCCTGTACAAATAAATTGAATAAAGAAAGAAAGAAAAGCAATGTCATTTACATAATCATTTGTTAATCAAAGGTTTAGGGGGAAAAAATACACACACACTTTCGTATTTTTAACACAAGTCTCCGTAAAGGAAGCCAAAATGACCAGTATGCATTTGCCTACATTTTATTTTATTCTTAAATTTTTCATGTACTACTTAAAATGTTGGTTTGTAAGCTGTTGAAAAAATAGTATCCTTGTAAAAAGGTTAAAGTATTTACTATGTATTTCCTAAAATGTTTGCTAATTTTTATTTTATGTCTTTATTCATATGTACACAAAGTCAAAAGTTTGGACACATCTGGATGAATGTGTCTGATGATGAAAATCCCAATGAGTAGGCGCGTCCAAACATGTTACTAGTTCTGGTCTTATTCCCTCATAAATATTGGTAAAATCTGCCCAAAAGTATTGTTGGTGTAAACTTTGCCTATAAGCAATTTCCAGAGTGGTGTAGACAGGACAGAAACAGACGTTTTGAACACGACATATCCCATCAGAGCTGAAACTGTGTTTTAAAATAGTTATTTTCGTGTCAGTCTGTGGCCCCTGCATCAGTTCTACACCTCCAGTGTTACACCGAATAAGTCTCTTGTTTCCTTCCTTTCCATTTTGCAACTTTGTAGGTGTTTTGGTGAAGATACGTGCATCTCCATTCCTGACATCAAAGCGATGGTGATGGTGCTGCCGCCCAGTGAACCTCGGATCACCATTGCTGGAGTGGAGCGGCTGGTTTGGCCCACGGCTCAGCTCCGAGCCCTTGTCGGGGTGGCCCTGTTCAAGGACATACACATCATTAGTACCGTCACCAAGACTGACGCCACCCTCAGCATAGGTGATAGATGACTCAATTTCACAGCTCATATATTAACAGTCTCACTGCTTTGCATTCATCTATTTCAGAGGTGCCACAGTTGCACATTTTGCCTGTAATGTAATCGTATAAACGTTTTAGAATATTTACTGAATTTGCTTCCCACGGATTCCTCCCAGCGTGTTGTTTTTTTTTTTTAAATAATGGTTTAGTCTATTATTATCAAGATTATAAATGCCTTCTGCTGGTTATTACACTGACACTGACCTTAAAAGTCAGTTGTTTTTTATTAGTGTCCTTTTTCATTTAAATTTCAACAAATGTGTCCGGCTTCTTTTATCGAATTGAGAGCCAGGGGTAGTGAAACAATAAATCATCGAAATTAAATTCATACACAATCAATGGTTGTTTGTGGATACGGCAGGAGGTCATATATTTGCTACTGCGTATTTGTCCCTGTGTAACTGTGTGTGTGTGTAGTCCGGAGGCCTGGTGTGCTGGAGTTGATGCATAACCTGGATTATTGTGATGTGCTGGTGATCGGAGAGGAGCTGGAACCGGAGCAGGAAAGTCTGGAGATCCACCACAGCTCTCTCTTGGGCAAACATCTGGATGCCACCAACTCTACCTCTGGCATCTCCATCTACGGTATGGTCGACCACATGTCTCGTTCTACTATACAGCCATCTGCTGCTAGAATGTTTCTCATAATCTCTTTTTCACTCTCATTTGCAGTGACCCTTTCATTTATTGCTTATCCACAGCTTATTACTTTCTATCTTCCCATTGCTCCATATTTACATCGGTTCTACATGTAGAACATATTTAAATCTAGATCTTTAATGTATCTGTAGATATTCAACTTCTGAAACATGACATTGATTGTATTACATTGATTGTATTCCTTGTGTTCATGCAACCAACCCAAAAGTGAGAAATCTCATAATTTACACATCTGTGGAACACAAAGGGAGACGTGTTGAAGCATGTGACAGTGAATGGGGACCATGCTCCAACATGACAAAAAAAAAAGCACAATAAAAGATCTCCCATTTGACGTGTGTGTCATATAAGTCTTCTGAAGCCTAACCATAGATTTGTGTGAGGAACAGACTGACATTTAAACCATTCTTCACTGAGAATTTTTTTTATTTGTATCCATTTGTACAGTGACTCTGTTACTGACATTTTCATATTATGTGACTAACATTTCTATCTGTTTTCGATTATGCAAAGCTATTTTATGGCTTTAGATTATTTGTTATACATTACAGTTCAAAACTTTGGGGACAGTAAGATTTTTAATGTTTTTGAAAGAAGTCATTTATACTCACCAAGGCTGCATTTATTTAATCAAAAATACAGTGAAAACAATAATATTGTGAAATAGTATTACATTTTTAAATAACTGTTATATATTTGAATACATTTTAGTGTAATTAATCAAGTGTAATTTATTCCTGTGAAAGCAAAGCTGAATTTTCAGCAATCGTTACTCTCATCTTCAATGCCATATTATCCTTCAGAAATCATTTTAATATGCAGATTTGGTGCTCAAGAAACATTTCTTATTATTATTATCATCAATGCTGAAAACCGTTCTGCTGCTTAATATTTTTTGGGAAACTGAGATACATTTTTTCAGGATTCTTTGATTAATAGAAAGTTAAAGAGAACAGCTTTTATTTGAAATAATTTTGATCAATTTAATGAATTTTACCAATTAAAAGTATTACTTTTCTGTTTAAAAAAAATTACTGACCCGAAAATTTTGAACAGTAGTGTATACAATAAATCTTGTGGGTGCCGTGTTTTTTTTTTTTTTCTCATTTTCATTTTGACAACCCAAATCCCCATCCCCTGTCATTAAATGCAAAAGGGTGATATAAATCCATTTAAAGAATTTGAAAAAAGTTTTGATCTTTAAAAGTCACTCTCAATTGTGCTCAAAAGCCTTTAACCCAGATCCTGCCCAGACTCTTGAACAGATCGCTGCCTCTAACAATCATACTGTACATTTGACTTTCAAATTTGGCAAATTCAAATCACTGTGACATTTCATAAAGTGGTTGGAGAGTTATTAGAGAAGGACTAAGACCTCCTACTTGTTCAGGGACTCCATGTTGAGTCTCTCCCAGGCCTCTGTAGCTCTTTTGTCTGAGTAGACCGAGTTCCTGACACTGGTCTTTCTTTGGTCTCAGGTGTGGACTCCATGGCGCATTATGAACAGGCCATCAGGCAGGTGAGATACCGTAACTGGAAGCCTGGCGGTCTGTCTGAGAGAAGGTTCCGGCTCAGTTGCTCTGAACTGAATGGACGCTACACAAGCAATGAGTTCAACTTTGAGGTCAGAGACTGCCTTCATACTGGGCATGGCTTCTTATTCTTTTTTTATCATCCATTCACTTTATCCCCTTTTTCAATTCCTGCTCTTCTTTCAGCTTTTTGCACTTTTGGACTTAGTACTTAAAAGTTAGCTGTGCACTTTTGACTCTTGATTTCTGATTAAGAACTGGCCATTAGGACAGAAAGACACCGTCTGACGGACATGTAAATGGGTCAACCACAGTCTTTGTTTTTTTTTTTTTACTTTTAGGAGAGGATAAATCAAAAATTCATGATAATGCAATAATAAGCCAGGCAGTAATAAAATGGTAGCCTATTTAAATAATGGCTCATCAGTCTTTCTGAATGATTGTACAGATTACACCAAGTAAATTAGGGGAAATTGGTCTGCATCAGTGGGAACACTTGAAACAAAACCAGCTACCATGACACAGTACTTCAAAAAATTAAGTGCTGTGTACAATATCCTAAAATTTACAGATTTAAATCTGGGGGCTTTAAATGGGGGTTTTTATGACTATACTGTAGTTGTACTGTAATAAATACAGTATTGAATAGGATCATTATTATAAATTCAGTTGTATAGTATTTTTATATACAGTATATATGACGAGTGGGGGCGGGGCCGAGAGCCGTGGGAACGGAGGGAGGCCGGTGGAGTAATTGATAATGAGCGACACCTGCACCACTCACCGGTCTCGAGTCTCACGGAGGAGCTCCGGAAGGATAAAAGGGAGGAGTGACGACAGTGTCGGACGAGAGAGGACCAGGGCCTGGACTTTATTTTGTGTTTTGGTTTTGTTTGTGTGCGACAGTCGTCCGCGAGGGGCTGTCGCGCTGTTTTGTGTTTGTTTATTTTATTAAAGTTTCTTTGAATGTTTGCCGGTTCCCGCCTCCTTCTTCCCGAACTACGAACTACGTTACAGTATAATTTTATTATTATATTTATAATTAATTAATATTAATAAATTTATATTTTTATATTTATAATATTTAATATTTACATTTTATATCATAAAACAGGCTCACAAATGTACAGGTTCAATCCCTATATATATATAAAAAATAATAATAATAAATAAATAAATAAATAATATATATATATATATATATATTTTTTTTTTTTTTTTGAATGCAACAAAGCTTTGCGGAAATCCCTTGACCTGGCCATAATGTTATGGATTCGAAACATTTAGATTTTCATTCTCCCGGTTGTCTCTCTGAACTATTTTATGTTTGTCCCGCCTCTCAGATTGGAGTAGTGCGCAGCTCAGAGGCCGTGGAGCATGTCAATCACATGGCTGTCCAATCCCAGTTCATGAGACCTGTGCATCATCCACTGGTGGTTCATACTGTCAACTCTGATCACATCTCAGGTAAAGTCAGCCAAGATGCCTCTTAATAAGTTAATAAGTTAATTCAATCCTGGTCATGCAGTAATTTTTACCCTGTATGACAACTACTGTGTTGAAAATGAAAATTAGTTGATTTATCTTCTGAATAATGTGTTGTTCCTTTTGTTAAACCATCTAATTGAATTGTAAACCAGTGGCTTTAAAAGGACAGTAAATGTGTCACAAAAATTATTCATGGGAGATCACAGCTTATAAAAAAGCAAATATTCACACACATGCACGTACAAAACCCGCACACTGGTCTAAGCGGACGACAGGCTCTTGAGACCGTATTGTTGGTTTGAAGAAGCTTGGGAAATTACACTTACTCTACCAGCTCACACACACACCAGGGACACCAGCGATCTCCCCAAGGGCGCACAGAGCACAGCTGACTGCAGCGAGATGGAGCATTCTGCTCTCTGGACTGAAGAAAGAAAGAGGGAGAGAGATGACAGGATGCGAGACATGCTGCTTTAGGAGAGACATGGAAAAACAGCAGGTGGCACTGTGACCTCATGCTCCCAATCCTGCTCTTGCTGACTGCAAGGTCTCAGTAAACGACACTGTTCTTAAAGTGAACTGTGTGAAACTGTCTTCCGCTGTCAGCACAGCTAAATAAGCTTCACCTCACAGACCTCCTTTAGAAACACTCTAAACGACCAGGATTGTATCGATTTCTGTATGGCTGAGTGAGTCATAGCAATACTATGAATATACATAATTGCAGGATAGAGAGACTAGAGCAATAAGTGGCTCAAGGTCATGCATTCCAGTTATTTTACTACAGTTAAAAGTAAAGCAGGGTGACTAAAACACCCATAAATCTCTCTCTGTCTCTTTCTGTTTCTCTCTATATACTGTTCAAAAGGGTTTCTTAAGGAAATTAATAGTTTTATTCAGCAAGGACACATTAAAATGATCAGAAGGTACAGTACAGTATTGTATACATGACCAAAGGTACAGTATTTAGTTGGAGTGTGGTTGAGGAGAGACCCCCCTCATATGATTGTAAAGCGCTTTGGGTGTACAGCAATACACAATAAAGCACTATATAAATACCTCATTCATTCATTTATAATGTAAACATTTTTTTTTTAATCTATCTCAAAAATATTATGAAGTGCAACTGTTTTCAACATTGATAAGAAATGTTTCTTGAGCACCAAATCAGCATATTAGAATGATTTCTGAAGGATCATGTGACTGAAGACTGGAGTAATGGCGGCTGAAAATTCAGCTTTGCATCACAGGAATACTTTAGATTTTCAAATATATTTAAATTGTAAATAATATTAATATTTTATTTTATTCCACAATATTGCTATTTCTACTGTATTTTTCAAATAAATAATCCAAACAAATGCCGCCTTGGTGAGTATAAGAGACTTGTGCACGTCTCAAGGTGTTGGTTGAGAAAAAAACGGGAAAATATGCCTCAAACAAGGAAAGGATGTTGGAATTCTTGCTTGTATGAAACTCTGGCAACATCAGTATGATATAAGACAATGATCAGTAAATAATGACATTATTATTATTATTAATCACAATAACAATTTTAATGGTTTGTATCAACTTAATGAAATAATAATAGAATTCAACTGGTTTGAACATGTTTTATCAAATCTGGATTATAAATTCCCCTTTGTACAGTAACATGCCACAACTTTGCAGTTTGGTTGAACAAGATCAAATAAAAAATGTGTGTATGTCTTCACCCATGTGTCATTAGGGACCCCTCCTGCTGCGACTGTGGTAATTGTAATGTGCATTGCCACTCTGGTGGTCATTGTGGTCTTGGGCATCTACCGCATCCACACCACCCACCAGGACGGTTCAAAAGAGGACGAAGAGGGAAGAAAAGATCCAGAGATGGACTGGGACAACTCCAATCTTAACATCACTGTTAATCCCATGGAGGTCAGTATGTGCCTTAATGGTATAGAGCAGTGTTGGGGAAACTGCTTTGAAACTCTAGGTCCAGGGGGTGGCCAACGTCGGTCAGAGCCACAGTCCTGCAGAGCTTTGCTCCAACCTTGATAAAAACTTGCCTGCCTGTAGCTTTCTAGTAACCCTTAGACCTTGATTACCTTGTTCAGGTGTGTTTGATTAGGGTTGGAGCAAAACTCTACAGGACTGCGGTTCTCCAGGACCGATGTTGGCCATCCCTGCTCTAGGTTGTGAGTTTTGAATGAATGTATTATACAGTCGAAAGCATCATTTTTCTTCTGAACACACACAAAAAAAAATATTTTGAAGAATGTTAGTAACCAAACAGTTGATGGTAGCCAAATACTTTCAAAGTCAATGGCTACCATTGGATCTTTAAAAGATCTTCTTTTGTGTTCATCATAAGAAAGAAGCTCATGCATGTTTGGAACACCCTGAGGGTGAATAAATTATGACAGAATTTTCATATTTTGATTAACTATTCCTTTAACAATAACAACCCTGCTCTATAGTGTGTGGAGTTTTACCTTTTCATCATGAAGATGGTCTATTAGCATCATTCTATTGTTGGTTGTAGAGCATTGATGGGGCTCAGATTGCTGAGGAGGTGAGGGAGGAGGAGCCAGAGAAAGAGGAAGATGAAGACGAAGAGGAGGATGAACTGGCAGGAGAGCTCTCTAGTGCTGAATCTGAGGACAGTGATGAAGAGGAGGAGGCTAGCATTCAGAAGGGAAGAGTGAAAGGAAAACTGGAGTGGGACCCGTCTACTTTACCCTATTAAAACACATACACACATACATATGTGCATACACCTTCACACAAGCAAGATTCACATGCAGACATAGACTTGTGCACACACACATACAGACGTACACATGCATACATAAAACACTCGCATTTAATGCCCTTTCACACTTACAGAAGCCAGAATTTTGCCTGAAAAGCTGTCACACATCAGCCTGATTTTGACTCTTTCCAACACCCACATAAAGCATCCTGTAACGCCATCTGCTGGTCAATATTGGGAACTGCACCCATCATCCTGCAAAGCCTGTATGTACTTCAGTAATATAAAGCTGCAGTGTCTCAGTAGATCCACAAAAAGTAAAGATAATTTGACACAATGCAATTAATTGTGAATCAACACCTCTGGGATGTTTTTTATTTACATAAACTGTTTTTTTTTTTTTGTCTGTCGATTAATCAAATTATAGTCTAACATCATGATGCTTTCTCCCTTTCTGAAATACTAAACTAATATTTGACAGTATGGCTATGCCTTCACCATTTGTTGTCTTCAGAGTAACATTGAATATTGCATTGATTTGCAATAGTAAATACCCAAAAGTTGTTTTTTGCAATGAAAATATATACAATAATGATATTTTCTTCATTTGAAATCTAGCAAATAGGTTTATTTTAGATCCTCAGAGAGATTTTGAGATGGTTCTCTTTCAGCAAAAGTTATATAGTAAGGAGATAACATGAAAACAAACTAAATATTTCAAACTTTTTTCGTTTTTTGGGTTCTCTGTGGTAAGATAGGAGGAAGTGTGTCTGTACATTTTTATATGCCTGTCATCTGTAAATAGGGAACTGTAGAGTAGTTGAATGGTGACTCAGATTCCTCACGTCCTCCTGCATCCCTCACACAGCCTGTTTGTGTCCACACTCGCTTGCTGAAGAGGAAGTTTCCTCCTCCTCCTCTCTGTCTGTGTTTATCTCTCTTTCATTGTTCATGATGTCCTCACCTCAACCGCGGATGGGTTCTCCCTCACTTCACCTCAAATAGATTTGTCTGAATCTCTGTAGACAAAGACACTTTTAAACTATTAAAGGAAAGAAAATAGAAGAAAATTGTTCAATGATTTTAGCCTGGAGCTATTTTGGTATATTGTAAAGGTCTTTACTAACCTCCCCACAGTGTACAGTTCAATTAAATCTTTCAGGAAAAGAAATGAAATTGACATGTAAGTAAACTACAGACAAAAGCAAAATCTTTGTGAAAACTGAGGCTTTTGACTGTGTTTTGTTTTCATATAGAAGAGAGGTTTATGTAAAACCAGAGCAACTGTAGATGATATAAAAGTTTTCTCCCCTTGACGTGCATTTATGAATATGTGCATTGGGTTTCATGTAATGTCTGTTGCAGTGGTTAGGATTTCTCATGCCATCAGCCAAAACGTGCTTGTGATGTCAGCCTTGTGAGACATCCCGTTCCCCCTCTGTCCACCTTCCACACCTTTCAGTCCTATATTTCACTAGTCCTTTTTACTGTGTGTGTTATAGAACAGAAACAAAAAAGAAACTTTTAAAAAGATTGACCCTGTAAAATCATGTACGACTATTCTTTTGTATATGTTTCTCTCCTTTTGTTTTGTAAAGGGTTTTTGTTTAACTTCTTTGATGGTCACTGCAGCACTTTCTGTACATTGACCAATAAAGACTTTCCTTAGAATGAGTGAAAGTGTCTCTTTCCCATTCAAATGCTAATTATTCTACTTTTGTGTACAGCTTGAGGACAACTGCAGTTGGGTTATTTTGATTAGGTTAAAAAAATAACTAAAATTACAGCTAACTAACACAATAAAAACATGATTACATAATAAAAACATGATTTATGAAAATTTAGCAAAACGGAGTTATCTGTTGCAAATAAACTCTTCATACAGTGGGTACGGAAAGTATTCAGACCCCCTTAAATTTTTCACTCTGTTATGTTGCAGCCATTTGCTAAAATCATTTAAGTTCATTTTTTTCCCTCATTAATGTACACACAGCACCCCATATTGACAGAAAAACACAGAATTGTTGACATTTTTGCAGATTTATTAAAAAAGAAAAACTGAAATATTTTTTTTTTTAATTAGAACCTATACTTTAAGTGAAGTGTATGTTATTTGTTCACAGGTGAAGACAGAAAGCCTTATAAGAAGAGAAGGTACATCCAGTCATTATGTTTGAAGGCTAAGTCATCGAATGACTTGTAAAGTTTGTTGATTTACTTTCTCTAAATCTCTCTGCACAGACCTTTTTCTGCATACGAATTACTCAACCACCAAGCATGACATTTGAGAATCTAATGTGTCTGTTTCTTTCATTAAGGAAACGTAAAAGAAAAAAGGACAATAACAAATGTTAAATTCTGTGTGTAAAAAGTACAGTAGGGATAGTTAGAGAATATTTAAAATGGTCAGAGGAATGCAAATTACAAATAAAAATTGGCTATTGTACACCAAAATGACACTGTGTTGTAAAATATCCATACTGGGCTGTGCTAATCATGTCAATGACTAATATTGTTCAGTAAAAATATGAAGGACACTGGCTAATGACAAAAATTAAGCATATTGTAAGAATCAATTGTTCCAGAGAAAGTGAAGAAATAAACTCCTTTAACAGGTGCTGTGAAGATTCCTGTAACATAGGCTACACAACAAATAACAATAACGTTTTATAAAGCTCATATAATTACACCGTTTGTTTTGATCAAATGTAGTTTTCAGAGTGTGATATAAAACATTGATACAGACTCAATATAAAGCACACATACCAGTGGATGGATTGTAAGCTCTTCCTTCATTCATGTTCTTTGTAAACAAGAGTTATCTCGGTGTTAAAAGGTCCGAGGTTACCAATGGGTCCAAGTGTGGCAGCAAACGCCACCTTATTCTGTTAAAAAATCATGCAAAGTACTGTATAATATTACAATTTGATACACATTATATTTCAAATCTTTCCATTGGTTATGCAGCAGTATACAGTCTGTCTGTTTAAAGATGTTTATGCCGACAGTAAACGATAAACTGATTAAGCATGTGTTCTGAAGTTACTTGGCATTCATGCCATACTTATGATCAACAGTGGGGCTGTGTAATGGTGGTAAATAATAATAATAATAACAGATGTAACTAATTTTTTTTATCTATCTAGTCAATTTTATGCGCAAATTTTTTTTTTTCATTTTGTGAAATGAGAACAAACGGGAAGGTACCTTTTCTCTTGAGCTGCTCCAGCTGTTCCTCAGTGACCTGCAGTCTGTTCTTCAGAGAACTCACAGTGAACCTCAGCTCTGCCAGCTCAGGCTGGATCCCCGAGAGAAAGTGTTGCTCAAACTCACCAGAGGCCAAAAGAGCGCCTCTTTCCTCTACATTCAAATGCTCAGTCCCCTCAGCCTGCACTTCGTTCTCTTGCTGCGGGACCTCAGACATAGAGGCAGAGCTGAACAGAAGAAGCAGCAGCGGATACAGAATGGTGCGAGACATCTTTACCTTAAGGTTCTGCAGTCACTTGAAAACTTTCCTACGCTTTTCCTAAACTGACTACTTCCTGCAGCTCCCGATATATCCCTGGTGGGTTGATGTTTAACTTATGACACATTTTGTGAGGAAATAAATAAAATATTTGTCTGTAGGCCTATGTATTGCAGATAATCACGTGTAAAACATGGTTAATCTATTAGCAAAACAGTTTATGTTCATAGGGAACATGTATATAAACTATGTTTTGCTGATGGATCAACATATCTGTTCATCTATATGACTTAGGCTACAGAATATAGGCTATATATACTGTATGCCTTTTATTAAACAAAAAGCGATCAAAAGAAATCAATCTAGTTATTGGGTAAAATGTGTCACGTGCAAAAAAAATGATAATGGTAATGATATTACGCAGCGCTTAGAAATAGTCCCCAGCTAGGTAACTTCCAATAAGCCTATTTTCAGGTGCTGCTTAATATCAAACGGTAAAGCTCAACTGTTTAACTCTAGGGGAGTTGGAAAATGAGCCTATTTTCAAAAATAGTGGAGTGTTCCTTTAAGCCTTGTCTGTGAAACAGGGGGTAAAAGTCTCAACATTTTAGTCTAGTTTTAGTCAATGAAAACTTGACATTTTAGCAATAAGAATATTATTAGTTAACCGTACAGTATTCATTTTGGCAATTTTTTTTATTCATTTTAGTCTCGTCTTATTTCGTCAACGAAATTGCATGTTGATATAGAATCATAGTTATCGTTTATTTACCTTATTATCGTCACGTCTTCATCATGGGAAAAAAGCTCGTCAACGAACATTTTTCGTCATAGTCTTCGTTAACTAAATTAACGCTAGGACAACCGACCAAATTCAGTATGGGAGTATACACAAGATGCATGCAAGTTTCTCCTTATGGAATTAGTAAAGTAGCTCTGTCTGACGATGAAAAGGATCATTTCAAATGATTTAAAAAGACAAAATGATTTAATACAAAGATGTAGGTTTATTATTTAAAGTCACGTAAAGCCTCATGGGATAGTAAAGAGTTCATCAGACGCACCCTCAAAATCTTGTTGGAAGTAGTAAGTCATCTGGATACTTTTTGCCTTCTGTTATGTGAATACTGTGAATTCAAACATACTAATCTTTTCACATAGCCTACTGTTTTTCACCTGCTATGTAGTAGGAAAGTATGTGATTTCAGATGCAGCAGATCTCTATTGCCTCATTAATCTGCTGCGCTGCAGTAACCAGACAAGGCTCCAGACATTGCCTTTGATATGCTTTATTCATGGCCGGGAGTATCTCACACAAATCACAGAGAAAACCCACCAGCAAAAACATTACAACAGTTTATATAGGATAGATACATGAACAAAGAGCACTGTAGCATTATATGATTAGGCCTATATAATTGTTTCTCTAATATAACTATTTAGAAATTCCCCAGCTCTATCACTAGGCAGAAGTGAAGAAGAGGCAGAAGGTAGGCAGAAGATTTTGAAATTTGATTAGCTCAGCTTGTTGCTCAAGTTAAAAGAGTTAAATATTAAATATTCATACAGCAGTCTGGTACTTGTTCCTTCTATCTACATGACTACCGCACTAACTTTCACCAGGCCTACATCTTAAATTCATAAAAAGGTATTTTTTTATGCATATGAAAACATACCAGAATAAAATATTAGTCTTGCAAGCAAACATACATATTAGTTTTGACTTTGTGCTTCATGAATTTAGTAAGGTTGTCAAAGAGGGAAAAGTAAATGCCCAACAAATGAATTGTGGTGACTGTAATTATCAAAGACCCATGAAGTCTCACGGAGACGCACATAGACACGATCTCCTTTCTCTAGAGTCAAAGAGACTGAATTAGCTGTTGATTCATAGCGGTCACCTAGAGGATGATTGAAAACAATTACCATCTGTTCTCCATTTTTAAAGAGTCCTAAATTCAGAACTTTAGATGAGCGGTTATGTCCAGAGAAACTGAAGAAATAGGCTCCTTTTACAGGTGCTGTGAAGATACCTGTAATAGTACAACAACAATTAACAGTGGTTTTTATTTAATAATACTGTTTATTTTGACAAAGTGTAGTTTTCAGTGTGAAACATTGGTTCAGTATAAGAACACACACCAGTGTTTGGGTTGTAAGCTCTTCCCTCATTCACATAGACATTATTGTAAACCAGGGTGACTGGAGAGTTGAAGGGTCCA